AACAAATCAATAATCTCTGAAAAGTGACACTTTTTCACCACTGGGAGACCCAAGCATCATCAAAGTAAAAGTTAAGGTTGCATTCATTTTCCTCCACTAAGGAAATTAGCAGGCTCCTTGAAGAGAACCTTGAGAGAGAGGGAAGACTGTGAACAGGCTCACATCGTCAGTGCAGCCGCTGTGGGTGGCGCTTTTTGAAATGCCCCTTGCTGACTCAAGCTCCCAGGCACAGCCTCTTGTGTCACCCACGCCAGTGAAGGTGGCTTGCTCAGGTGGGTAAAAACAGGCCAGATCAAGGCATGGGTTCTAGGGAGCTTGCTAACAGCCCCAGCAAGCCACCCTGGCCAGGTTCAGATGACACAAGACGCCACGCATGACAAAGAGAACACGTAAATTGGGCCAGTGCATCAATGGCACAACAGGTGCCGAACAAGCTTGTTGCCCTATCTCATGTCATGGGATTGAGCCCTTCATTTTCATTTTGTTAAGGGCAGTCCCAACCACCCAGTGCTGACTAAATTTGCATATTTATTGCTTCCCCAAATGGCTGGAGAAGGAGAGACATAACCATTTTTCAGAACTTTAAAAAACAGCCCATGGAGGTATACCGTTCATAACCAGAACCCCCGAGAACAGCCTTCAGCTCTCGTCAGCCCAGCCGGCGTGGCCGATGGTCAAGAATGCAGGCAGGAGTCAAGCAGGCCAAGGCCAGAGCGACCAGTGGTCTGACTTGACACAGGGCAGCTTCCCAGGTAGCCCACAGGGCCCAGGTAGCAACAGACGGGTGGAGCATGTACTATTGCCGTCAAAGATCCCCCTCAAAAAAGCACCAGCCTGCCCTTCTCTTCCAGACCCTCCCCTTCCTATTTGCACTTACCCCCCATGAATGGACTGCAGCATTGGCGGGCTGAGCTCCAGGTGAGAACTTGCAGCCAAAGGCAAGCCACGGCCGGGACCCCCCTGCCTGGCACGTCTTGTCTTCCCCCAGAATGGCTCCTGCTGCACCAATGGCTTTGTCTCCTTGGGCCTGGTTTGCTTCTCTGCATGCTGATTCTTCGCCAACTCTCACTTTCTCTTTCTCTATCTTTTTGCAAACTTTTGGCTCCAGAGGAAACCAGGAAGCATTAAGCTCCTGTTCGGCATCACTAATTCCATCAAAGATTTCTCATTATTCATTGCTGGCAGTTTAATTTTCTTCACTCTCCTTTCCTAGAACAAGCCATCGCCTTAATTGCTGACCTTCCCATCTTCCCAGCACCGTGGCTTCCTCGCTGCCCCTTAAAAGGCTTGCTTGGCATGCACCTGATGCGGCCAATCACTGCAGACAGTGCTGACCCATTAAGGCATTAGGAATTAAACGTGAAAGTTCCACAGTTCAGCTCTCAGAATTCCTTTCAGGGGGTGATGCCAGAGAACCTCCGACCCTCCCGATGTGGAGCCATAACCCCCAGCACCCCTGTCCACTGGCTATTCTGGCCGCGGTTGATGGTGTTACACAGGATCTGACCAGCAACAAGTTCCCCATCCCAGCTCTGGGCCTAAACTCAGGAAACAAAGGAATAACTGTAAATCCAACAGGTTTTGTAAAGGGTACTAGTACTGTGGCAAACTTCCATCCTTCTGGCATCTGTGGACTTCCTCTCACGATTGGCCCAGTCTTAGAAAATGAGCTGAGCAAAGAGGAGATCAGACTGCGGTCCCGCAGGATTGCCTTCCTACGCCCCCAGTGGGTACAGTTCCAGGCTGAGCCAGGGCAGCAAAGTGTTAGCCAGGATCCAACTCCCTTGCACTCGCCGCACTTCTTTCCTGCTCTCGGCCCTGGCCTCAGAAGTGAGAACACTCGCAACCCCTTGCAGGAGCCTTCCTTGAGCTGAATTACCTCTCTGCAAAATATGCAAACTGCACAAGCTGTGTGTGCAGAAACAGGATCCCATTTGCACAAACGGAGCTTGGGCAGCACGTGAGATGCGAGTGATGCTGGGGCTGGCTCTCGTCCGGACACCCTGAGAATACTCGGCACAAGCCCGGCTGAGGGCAGGAGGAAGCAGGCCAGAGTCTGGGGAGCAGAGCCAAGAAAACCCCGTGGATTCCCACCCCTAAACCAGATTCCTCATACATTGCTAGGCTGGGACTAGGGAGGGCCAGGTTGTAGTCCCCAGCTGGCTGGGCAACTTTGGGCCAGTCATTGATTCTCAGGCTACTTTTCACAGTTGCTGCAAGGAGAGAATAGAGTGGAGAAGGATTGTGCGAACCCTGTGGTTCTCTGAATGAAAGATGAGATATGCACCAAGCAAGTAAATAAAATAAACAAGCAGGTACAAGACCCAGGCCCTGACCCAGTGACAAGGCATTGGGAGGCACGAGCTGCCCTGCTGGAAGGGCTTCACTATTTATTTATTTATTAAAACATATTTATGCTCGGGGCGGCTTACAACAATAAATTAAATAATTATAATCATAAATTAAAAATGTAAACATTAGAATAAAATACAAACATACAATATAAAATAAGCCACCCTGGCCAGATAAAATTCAATAATATTAACATTTAAAATGCCGCTTAAATAAAAAGGTCTTCGCCTGGCGCCAAAAAACAAATAACGACGGCGCCAGGCAGACC